GGGTTAATATATGTAAGGTGCATAGAACAGTGCCTGCCACATGATAAATGGCAGATAAATTCGTCCTATTATTTGTATTTGTATCATGCCTTGCAAACTGAAAGTGTTCAAAAAATTACCCAATTTAATTTCCAATTTCCTTTGTAATATGCTTGCATGTGAACATAAGAACTTTTGAAATTTCCTAAATATTTGAAAGAAATAATGAAGCAGTTTCTAATTAAAAGACTCCTGAGTTGATTAGCATCTATAGAGATTGTCTCATATTTCCAGTCTTCAAACTAGAAATAGAATCCACTCTATGCTACTTCTTAAATAAAAATTCTGTTCATTAAATTGACAAAACTTGGTGGAGGATAGAAAGACAGTCTCTTTAAAAATCAGTTAAAAAATTCCTATACTGAGAGTTCTCAAGGTCAGAGACGCTGTCCATCTCAATGTTTTCTAGTATCGTGTCTGGTACTTAGTGGGCACCTAAAACTCTGTTGGGTGAGGGAATGAATGAATTGAACAGAGTCTCATTTTATTTATATCACCTCATAAATGTATAACTTCAATGCAAAGAAAGAAAAGATGCTGGAGAAGGACCCGGTTGATTACACACCATCATGGGGAGTTTTATGGTTAAAACTACAATTACCCTCTTTGAATTTTTTTTAAAAAATTATCTTGCTAACCACCATTGTGAATTTAGAAGTGATAAAAACAACATATAGTATTTTCTTGTTATAACTGTTTATAATCATTTCTTGGTACAAAAAATTGTGGTTAGAACTCTGAGTGCTCAAAGCAAAAAAGGAATTCTAAGTTCACTCTTTATTATATCCTGTCACAGAAGAAAAAAACAGTTAATTAGAGATAACATTGAAAATACAGATAGAGACTACAGCTTGTGAGAAAAAGCACAGAGTTTATGTACTGTAATATGTCTGCCTTTGAAGAAATATTTAGGATGAATATGCAGTTAGCTTTGGAAGGGAGAAATAGAGTAATTTTTAAATGAATAAGTTAAAATTTACTGGGGAAACACAATGTTCCTCAAATTTTATAATTATTTCTGAAAGTTATATATTTCCTATTTCCTCTTCTAAGTCACAAAAATTTTGAGGCACCTAACCACATTTTGTGCTTTCTATGCAGTGTTTCATGAATAAAAATGACATAATTTGTTTTCTTTTTAAATACAAGAGCATTCTTAGTCAATTGTGATGAACAGTGCTGCCATTTTGGGGATTATTTCATTTAAAGAATAATAATTAAATTGATTATATGCCATTTCCTTGATCTCTTCCTGTTATCCATTCCTGGTGAAAAGTTGGCTGCAATGAATACACATTTATAACCTAAAAAATAAGTAAAATAAAAACAAAGTAAAATAGAGTATAGCAAAATAAAATAAAATAAAACTGACTTGGTAGTAGCGGTTGGAATAGCAGATGTAGCATCTGGGAAATAACCAGCCTTTCTCTGGCTAACCTGTGAATTATAAGTTTAAAGAGATAAGTGAATATCACACTTGATGGAATGACATAATATAAGATTTGGGGCGAGGAGTCATGATCTTTCTCTGGAAACATAGAAAAATGTATTCCATTTGAAAGTTTTTTTCAAAATCTAAAATGAAAAATTATTTGAAAACCTCAAGGCAAAATTTAAATAAATACATAACATCAGTTATATTAGGCTGAAAATGAAAGAAAGCACAAATTACAGTGACTTCAACAAATGGGAGTTAATTTTTCATCATTTAATTAAAAAACATACATGTAGATATTTCCTGGTGTTGGTTTAGCTTCTCAACCATACTATCAAAGACTCATGGTTTTCCTATATTTCTGCATCTCCAGCCTCAATATGCTGACCTTTCTTCCTTATGTTTGTTATCTCATAGATAGCTGGTGGAACTCTAGGCATCATATCCAAGTTCAGCAAAAGGGAAGAAGCAGCATTAGTATTAGCTACATTTTTCTCTTAAAATGAAAGCTTTTCCAGTAGAATTCCACTTACATTCTAATGGACAAAAAATGAGAAATATGACCACTCCTAGCTGCAAGAAAACCTGATAAATCAGACACATGGCAAAGAGATGCAGATTCATTGCCTGGGTTGGGCATGATTTCACCTTGAAAAAAATTTGGGTTATCATAGCAAAGAAGAATGAACTATCTACAGCAATTACACACTGTGGGAATCTCTCACACTGGAGGAAAAACAAATCGGGAGGGCTGTCATATGCCCCTGGGAAAGAATGAGACATAAGAGTCACACAATTAGAATTTGTACCAACTGAAATTTTGTAGCTCTTCCTCTTTTAATATTTAAGCAAATATCTAGAAAATGAGGATCAAGCATGAAATCTAAGGCCAGAATGGCTAAGAAGAGAGTAATGTACTATGTTTAATATTCTACCAAAGAGTTATGATATGTTCTACCCATTTTTAACAAGGAGTGTGAACCTCACTGACTCAACTCAATGGCACATTGGAATAATTTAGGTCAGATAATTGGACATGCTAAATTTCCTAGCCAACTTATTACCTTCATATAGTTACACAAAGTTACTTAGAGCTTTGCTTTCCACAGGTGTCCTAGAGAACACAGTCAATCTTCCAATCTCAGTTTGAGTAAGAATGAGTTTGATGCATGATTAATAGAAGATGTACATGTGTTAGAAAGTATATAATCATACACTTAATGACAATATAATAATAAAGATGGGGCTCAGCATTTATTGAATGCTTACTGTGAGGTAATTATTATACACCGGAAGATCTTTCCAGGCTTCACCAATCAAATTCACATACTACCCAAGGCCACACTTAGCATCAGTTTCATTTAGAGAAATATAAGATAGAAACACAAAAGGGCAGCATCAGGAGTTTCTCTTATGTAGAAGGAGTGCTCAAAGCAGACAAGGGGCTGGTCTCTGGGATTCAAAGTCAACGTGCAGGTGTGAGGACATGAGATTCGCACAAAGGGGTGCATTGTCCAACTTGACTTAGAATCATCAAGCCCCCTAAGATCCAATATCTCTTATAACAGTTTGATGGTCATCTATAGCTTCTAGAGTTCACTGAAAAAGACATGCCAAGTTACAAAAGTAGCCCAAAGATATGACTTACCACCAAATATTTATAATACTTGCACAATTCTCCCAGTCCAGAGGACTTTTACTAACCAGGGGTTATTTGTACCATAAGCAACGTTGCTGTTGCTTAGTAACATTTATCAGGCTTCCAAGAGACCAGAGCTAGAAAGTTAACCCAAGGTGAATCCATTCACAATGTATATGTATATCAAATCATCGCATTGTACACTTTGAATTTTTATAATTTTATTTGCCAAGTATACTTCAATAAAGTTAAGGAAAAAAATAAAGTTAATCCAAGGTAAAAATTTATCTACAAAAAGAAAAAAAATTTTGTTAACCCTTTACTCACACAGACATATTTATTTAATATTCACAACAAACATATGAGGTAGGTGATATTATTTTCATTATAAGAGGGACTTAGTAGTGGTAAAACCCGAAGCAAACTGACGTTTCTCAGTTCAAGAAGCAGAATTCTTAACCATAAAACTCCATGTATTCCACAACTCCATGAAAGGAAAAGACAGTGTAATGAATGGAAGGTAAACAGAGCCAATCTCAGGGAGGTTTCTTTAAAAGACGAGAAATTTTATGAAAATAAAGTAACTTAAACCTCTTAAAGTATCATATTTCTTTTTCTTCTTTGGTTATTTTATTTTAGATACTGGAAAATCTAAAATGATTATTGACCGGGTAGTTTTCTTTAATGGACAATCATCTCTTTTTTTCGCAAAGCCTAGTTCAGAATAGGCAAGTGTGCACTGACTGATGATTTGTGTTTATGAGTATTTGTTCAATAGCACTTTTTTCATTCTTTCACATATCCCACGTCTAAAGAAACACTGAATTTGGTTTTGATGTGCAGAAATTAGATTGGGGTCAGGATGTGAAAATCTCTCTAAAAAATTCAAGCAAGTTTCCAAAAACCAGGAGAACTTGGAAGAGGGTTTACAATTCTGGCTTTGAACCAGAGGCTTTCCACTCACTGCAGAGGTATCTGCATCCCATCTCTCACTCCCTCATCTTGTTCTGTTCTTGTGGTCAGTTGTCCCAGGGGCAAAATTTAAAATATCTGACAACTAGTATAACTCAGGCACCAACTGCTTGAAACAGAAGCTGGCCGTAGTGCTGGAGAAGATTCTGAAGCCAACCTATATAAACGTTTTCTAATGCATTTTACCTGTTACATAATCAACACTCATTAGGTCAACCAGCTTCATATCCCACTGAGAGTCAAGGAAGGGAGATACAGATGAACATTTAACCATATTCATTGGTGTACACATGGCTGAATATCAGCACTACATTTTCCTCCTCCTTTGACTTGTAGTGAGTATAAGACTTATAGAGGTAAAGAGTATTGATTAGGTGACATGGGTTTTAATTCTTTAGTTTGTTTTGCGATTTCTCATAGAAGTGGTACTTGAGAATTCAGATCTTTGAAACTACTACAACAAAGCCTACATCATTTTGTTTCGAGACATCTGCCAGCAAGTCCCTTTTCTTATATTTTGTCACTTATAAAATAATAGGCTTGGTTCATGGTAGGGAATTTCAAACTTATAGAGGAAACAAGAGTTCCTAGGAAGTTGAACATTATGTGTGGTAGGATTGCAAAATAGACATAATCGACATAGTCATGGACATAGACTCTCCACAGATTTTTCTGGAAATTTGCATTTTAACAAACTCCCAGGAGACTCTTGTAGCGAGCTCAATCTTAGTTTAGAAACCCCTATACAAGATCAATGATTCATAAACTCTTGTTTGTATGAGGAGATTCTCAAACACTATTTAGAGAAACTGTGTACTAATTTATATTGATGTTCCCTTTAAGCCTGTTTTATGATTCCTGAAGGTGGCACTATTAAGACCCTGTTTCTTTCTTCCTGCCAGGCTCTGTTATATGTCAATCTTGGATATCACCTGAAGAATGGCATCTGTGCAGGACTGCCTTCCTGAGGGCATCCTTCACCTCTTTGTTTCTCAGGCAGTAGATAGCTGGGTTGAGGAACGGTACAATGATGGTGTAGAGCACAGAGATGATCTTATTGTGGTTGAAGGTGTACATGGCCTGGGGCCGTGCATAGGTGAAGAGAGTAGAGGTATAGTAGATGACAACCACTGCCAGGTGAGAGGCACAAGTGGAAAAGGCTTTGTGGCGTCCCTGGGCAGTAGGAATCCTCAGAATGGCTGCAATTATGGAGGCATATGATGAAACCACAACCAACAGAGGGAGTAGAATCATTACAAGGGCCAAGAGGAAGTCTACTAATTCTGCTTGTTCCTTGTCAGAGCAGGTGAGGTTAAGTAGTGGAGAGATATCACAGAAAAAGTGGTTGATGATATTGGGTCCACAGTAAGACAATCGGGAAATGAAAAGAAGCTTCATCATGGAGCTGAAGAAGCCACTGCCCCAAGAGGAAGTAGCAAGTCGAGTGGCCACGCTGAAAGACATGAGACTAGAATAACGGAGAGGTTCACAAATGGCCAAGTAGCGGTCATAGGCCATGACTGCCAACAGGACACACTCAGTGCAGGCTAAGGCAATGAAGAAGTAGAGTTGGGTCATGCAACCTACATAGGAGACTCTATGTTCCTGGGTAAGAAATTCTCCCAAGAACCGGGGAACCGTGACATTGATGTACCACAGCTCCAGGAAGGAGAGATGGCCAAGGAAAAAGTACATTGGGCGATGAAGGTTTGGAGTGAGCCAGATTGTGGAAATGATGAGTGCATTCTCCAACAATGTCAGCAGATAAATTGCAAGGAAGAGGGCAAAGAGGAGTAGCTGGAGTGGTGGAGAGGTAGGGAAGCCCACCAAAACAAACTCTGCTATGTGGCCTCCACTGAAATTTCTCATGATCTCTGCTTGACTTCCTGAAAAAGAACAAGATATTGAGAGACAGGTGGAGAAAATCGTAACATCTCCTCACAGATTACAAACTTCTGAAGATGCTCAATGGTATATTATTAATTATTATTTTGTTCCTTCACTTTGCTGTTTAATCTCCCACCTCAAGGATAAAGTTCTCAGACCTGAGGCTTGTACTCAATAACTTAGCAATCTCAACTACAGTGGGTATTTTATAAATGTTTGCTGAGTGATTTCAGGACAAGTTCTAATATATCAATTCGTGTTTTTTTAATCCATGACATACTCTTCCTTCACTTCCCATAAACTTCTAAGCCCCATAGAAGATTTATTCAGTATTTGTTGAATGAATGAGTAAAAGAAGGACTGATAGCAAGCTGAAGCCTGAGGGTTTAACTCTCAAGGGAAACTGGACTCAGAGGAATTAGTAGGTCAAAGACATTACTTGAGCTATAGTGCAAGGCAGCATGGGAGGCGGGAAGTGTGTTTGGGAAGTATTCATTCACAGTTGGAAGAATAATTCAGCATAGAGGAGATAAAAGGGTTGTACTCCAGAAAGGAGTAATTTTCCCACTCATTTTACAAGTATTTTTCAGTATGTTTTATTGCTAGAATTAGACGATCTTATTCTCAGAGCTAGTGTGGTAGGCTGAAAAGCGGACCCCAGAAAGGTGTCCATGTCTTAATCCCTAGAACCAGTAAATATTACATTGTATGACAGAGTCTTTGCACATGTGATTAAGTTAAGATATTGAGGTGAGATTCTCCTGGGTTATCCAAGTGGACCTTAAATTCAATTTCAAGGGTCCTATTATGAGAAAGGCAGAGGGAAATTTAAAATAGAAACAGAAAAGAGAAGGCAATGTGATGAGAGAACAGAGAAAGATTTGAAAATGCTGGATGATTGGAGTGATGTGGGCACAAGCCAAAGAATGCCAGCAGCCAGCACAAGCTAAAAGAAGCAAGGAATGGATTCTCCCCTAAAGCCTCTGGAGGGAGCGAGGCCTTGCCAACACCTTGAATTGGGCCAAAGGATATTGATTTCAGACTTCTGGCCTCCAGAACTGTCAGAATAAACCTCTATCGTTTTAAGCCATCAAATTGGTGGTGATTTGTTACAACAGTCACAGAAAACTGATACAGTTGGTGAGGCATCAGAGTGGAAGAGGCAGTCATATGCCTCCCAACCATCCCTCTGTGCCTTCCTAGTCTCCTATCAACATTGCTCATGGCCTGGCATCTCCAGAAGGCATCTAGAAAAATTATGAACCTCACTTGAGACTGCGTCACAAGTTAGATTATCATCAAGCACTTTCATTTGGGGTGGGACTTAAACACTTGTCTTCACATTTTTTTCCTTTCAGCAACCTTAAAAGCAATATATCAGCTTGCATATTTTAAAGTTGACATCCATTTTATTATCATACATTTAAATAGTTGCAGGGAATCTAATTGCTACTGAATGTGACTATTAGCATTTTAAATGAAACTATTACATCACTCCTTTATATGTTCAGTGAATTCTAAATGTTGGTGCTATCATACCCCCCAACACTTATCTTAAATATTACGTGAGTGCAGGTATCTTTAAAAAATAAAAATTTTGCATTATTTTTCTCACTGAACTCACAGTTCAAGGTATTATATTTTTATAACTGAGAGCCTTTTATTGATTTTTACATATTTATCGTCTATTATCTATCTATTTATCTATCGCTCTCTCTGACTCTCTCTGTGTCTCTCTGTGTGTCTCTCTCTCCCTAACTACCTATCTACCTGCTTTTTTGTTTCCTGTCCTCTTGGCTGTAAGAGTTTTGAAAACAGTTTTCTTCTAGATATTATTATATGACTAGCATACATTTCACCAGGGTAATAGAAATAGATGGCAAATTTTTAAAAATACGTTAGACAACCTTTTAAAAACTTCTTGGAACACCATTTTATAATAATGTGGATTGCACTTTTTTTAATTCTTGTGTGCATCCATGAAGACTACGTATTATCACAATGACAAATGTTTCAGCATTATTCCATTCTAAATCATCATTTTGGAGATATAAACTCTGAGGAAACTTGTTCACATAAATAAATGGCATTGATATACCATTGCTCAGAGAATGGAAGTTGTTTTGTTATAGTAATAATCCTAAATTATTTGAATTTTCTGTTAGTTATGTGTTAAAAATTACACAGCGATCTATCATCAAAATAATTTCTATTGATCTATTAGTTGACATTTCTATTAGCTTCAATTTCAATTATGTTGAAAGAAATGGACTAGAAACCACTGACTTTCAAAAGGAGACATTACTCAGTTATTAGTCATTCTCGGTCTCAGCACTGACATTATCACTGGCACTACCTTAGCCTCTGGGACACTTTCACAGAGTAAGATTATGCTATGCCTTCCCTTGTACAGAGGGAGAAAAGTTGTGAAAAGGAAAGTGAGAAAGGAGAAGAAATACTTTCTCGAGCAGATCAATTTTAAGAAGAATTGATAAGGGAGTTGAAGGCCATGGAATGATTCTTTTGGAAGAATTCATATCTGTATCTTGGAAAGTTCTTTTGTACCCTCCAGGGCACATAAACCGAGGTTTGGAAAGCTGACTTCATGTGTCAGATACTTTTCTGAGAGAGAGTTTGAAGGGAGGTATGGGTGGAAAGGATGAGGACAGAACAGGAAGGAAGCACAGCACACTTCAGGGCTAGGTAATAATAGAGCATGGGAGAAATTCAAAAATGGTGGCTGGAAACTCCAAAGAGCTGACGTAAGGAAATTCGAATGCTGAAGTAGACTAAGCAATGACAGAAAGCCTGAAAGGGATCTGTCTTCATCCCTCTATTCTCAGTATTCAGAGCAGTGCCTAGAACATAGTAGGCATTAAAAAAATAATAATAGGATGAGTTTCAGTCTTGATTTGTATAATCTTGAATAATTTACTTATTTTCAAATACGTATTTTGTAAATAACACAAACAATACAAACTAGAGTTCTTTCCAGTTGTAGTACTGCATGAAATGTGATTGAAATTCCAACTTGGCCCAGGATCAGTCCTGGGGGATGGGGGAAAGAAGTTGTTAAAAATGGAGTGGAGAGTGGGAAGCAGCTGAGGAAATTCATTGTCTGGTTCACAAGCATTTTTGAAGCCAATCCTGCTCTGCAGACCACTCTGGCTTAAATCGTCTACTGATTCAAATGCAAGCCTGAGCATAGGGTCCCTTGTGCCCAGAGGTCCCTGTGACCCTAACTCCTCCCCACTGCTCAATATTACTTTATGTCATCATCTTCATAGGTTTTCTGCTCAATTGTTGAAAAAAAAATGCTGTCTGCTCCTTAGACTGGCCTGCTATTTAATCCCTGCCAGATACTGTCTCTCCCCTTTATCTATGCCCTGTTCCAAATATACCCTCCCTTTTAGAGAAGGCCCTCCTGCATAGACTGCTTCTGAATCACAGTACTCAGATCCTTCCAGTAGCTCTGAGCATATTCGTGCACCGTGTGGACTGAACTTTTGTGTTATTTGTTTCTTTTTTTCTGTTCCCTCTTACTTCTGGGCTACATCTTTCCTTCCTTGTCAGTCCTGGAACATATTCCTGCCCTACTGACACTTGAAGCTTTATGATATCAGGGCAGCATCTGACCACAATAGCAGAGGAGCTTGAAATTTTAACCTTCACTGAGTGATAAGCTCTTTACATACATCCTTCTCGTTTGACACCTTAGGCTCCAAATAATAATTAATGAGGAAGTTTTTGAGTATTTCTTCTGCTGATGAAAATAATCCATAACGAATCTATAGATGAAAATTTGGATGAGTTTATCCTGAGCTAAAATGTGAGGACCATGGCCTGAGGACTTTCTTCCCAAAGGAAGAAAGAGCACCAAAGAAATGGGGTGTACAGAGTGGTTATATGCCCCCAAAGAAAATGTTTTACATGTGATTGAAATGTCCCTTTTACAATAGTCGTGAGACTGCTCTGTCGGCACAGCAATTGATGGATGCAGCAGGTAGGTCTGCTGTCTCGGTGGGTACAGCAGGGTGGCAGGTCTGTTGTCTTGAGCTGGGTGGTCACAGGTGAGCACAACAATCAGTCCCTAGCCTAAGGAAAGATGCTTATCCTTAAGGAAACACCAATGTGGGGGGAAGTTGCACCATTATCTTAAGGGCATTTATTCTTGCCATAGTAAATGTTTAAAGCAGATATACAATGCATGCTCCATGGCCATGTCAGGCCCTTTTGGAAAAACAAAGTCAGGTCAAATTGGATTTACACCAAATGGCTTCCTTATATGCTCCAATATATCCTATTGCTTGCCATTTCTATTTGTCACTCCCATTGCATTTCCTCTTTCCTGGAAAATGCATAGATTATCTCAGGAGTAAATGATGTTAATGGTATTGTACAATCCATCTTCTACTCACTCTTGAAAGTTCCCTTTCATGGTCACCTTCCCTTCCACATCTATCAACCATCACTTTTATTTAAACTGCCAATCATGTCAGAGTTCTTTAAGACATCACTCTGATTTCTACTTCTGCCCATGACTTTTGCACGTGAATAAACATCATAAACGTCAGTTCTTCCTGTGTAGACTTTGTCCAGGAGATCTCTCACATCTGCTATTGTGACTATGACTCTACTAACAGATCTGTAGAGTAACTACATATTTACCTGGATTTCTCATCCTCAGGAGCAGAAATTCACTCATTACTCTATCCTCATTGAGTTCAGAGCTTTACACATAATAGGTACCCAATAAATCTTTATTGAGTAAGCTAAGAAATAAATAATAGAATAATTTAGGAGCTTGGAAAATTAATGTTCCTTCTCTCTTTCAGAGGTAGAAGGCTGAACCTGTTTTTTAATCTATCAAATAGAGATGCTGTTGCTGCTGTCATTCCACTCATTAGGCTATGTGACCATCAAAAAGACAATTTAGGTGAGGATGATTTGTCGACAATGTGAAACACACTTATTAAAACCTA